ACGCCCACTTACCAGCTTTACAATGTTGCGGGTGGTAGTAAGAGGTGGCACTGCCACAGTGACATGAATCGGAGGTGTTACAACGAAGTCACATTGTCGCGTCCGTGTCACTCCGTCTTCCCCCCACCGTCAGTCGATGCGAATCTTGACCTGGAACATCGTGAGTTTCGTTCCTCACATCTTTCAATGGTCTCAAACTATTTCAGAATGGCGTCCGCACAATACCTCAATACCACCCGTACTCCCATTTTCCCCGTGCGCGATACACCGCTTGCTCACGTCGAATTGCAGGTGGAACACCATGAAAACACACGACGACATCCTCAACCTTCTGCAAGCCGATATAATATGCTTTCAAGGTAGGTTTCAGCCTCTAAAACGCGTCGATATTGATATGGCACAGAGATGAAATCCTCGCGCCAGAATCTCCCCAAGGCCGTGGGCCTCCCGCCCTCCTACCATTCGTTCTTCTCGTTTCCATTGCAGAAAAGCGGGTACTCTGGCGTCGCGGTGTACGCCCGGGCTGATGTCATTCTGCCGTGCAAAGCCGAGGAGGGGCTGACCGGGTTGCTGCAGCCAAAGCCGCCCTTGTCCTCTGCCGAACGCGTCTCTGCCCGTGAAGCCTACCCTGATGAGGTCATGATGGAAGGCTCCTCCGACGTGGATTTCCGGAATCTGGACAGCGAGGGCCGCGCGCTGACGATCGACTTTGGGCTGTTTGTACTGATCAACGTGTATTGCCCCAACGACGGCACGGAGACTGAGGAGAGGCTGAAGTACAAGATGGACTTTCACAGGATGCTCGAGGCGCGCGTCAAGGGGCTTGTCGAGGTGGAGAAGCGCGAGGTGATCGTTGTGGGCGACCTGAATGCGTGCGCCGCGGTGGTAGACCATTGCGAGGGAAACCTGATGGTAGCGCGGGGACAAGCGGAGGGTATGGCGGGCGAGGACGGATTTTGGGAGCGCGATGTCCGGCGCTGGCTCAGAGACTGGTTGATCTCGGAAGAAGATGGGAACCACGGCTGTCTCGTTGACGTCGTGCGGCGTTTCTGGCCTGACCGGAAGGGCATGTATACCTGTGCGTGCTTGCGATCGCGTTTGCTCTATTTCCGTCTAACGCGCGGTGCGAATTTTAGGCTGGAACACCAAAATCTCTGCACGAGATTCCAACTACGGAACGCGTATCGATTACATCCTTGTTACGCCCGGGCTGCTTCCTTGGATCAAAGCCGCCGACATTCAGCCGGAGATTAAAGGCAGCGACCACTGTCCTGTGTTCATCGATCTTCATGACCAGATCATCGACGCGGATGGGGCCGCAGTTAAACTACGAGACGTGTTAGGATCCGGCGCCGTTGGCGCGGAACCGCCACGCATCGCCGCCAAATTCTGGGACGAATACAAGCAAAGACTTTTGGACACGTTCTTCGGGAAAAAGACGGATCCCATCGCAAAACCGGGCTCGCGCCCGGTACAACGACCAGTGTCCCAACCGGTATCAGATCCGCCAACGCCCTCGACATCGCAGCTGTCCAACCCTACTTCTGACGGCACATCTTTGTCCACGCCTAAAGCATCGAGTCCAGCAGTTTCGGTTTCAGCTGCAAGCGAAGTGGTTGAGGATCGGCACTCCTCGGGGAGCCAACCATTGGCGGACTCGAGCTCGTCCACGTCTTCGGTTGTGAAGCGGAAAAGAAACACCCAGGAGGCAGTCGCAGCGTCATCGAAGAAGCAGAAGAAGGACGCGCCGAAGCCCAAAAAAGTTGGACAGACAAACCTCGCTTCCTTCTTTTCTAAACCCCGCGCATCATCTTCCAAAACAAAAGCGTCGACTGAGGATATGCTTGAGGCCGACTACAAGCTGGCGCTTTCGTTGTCGCAGGAACCGTCGCCTCCACGGGCGAGTGGCAGTTCAAGTGGGACTAGCGGGGAGAGTAAGAAAGCGTGGTCGTCGCTCCTGGCACCTATCCAACCGCCAAAATGCGTCGTTCATGGCGAACCGACCAAGGAGCTCACTGTCAATAAACCGGGTCCGAATAAGGGCAAGAATTTCTTCATTTGTGCTAGGTGAGATGAGATCCCTACGACGATTCAGGCTTTAACCCTCTCGTCGCGAATCTGCAGGCCGGTGGGACCTGGGTATGATAAAGGGAAGGCAGAGCGGCTGAGGGAGGAAGTCGATCCGACGTGGAGGTGCGATTTCTTCAAGTGGTCGAGCGAGGTTAGGCTAGAGATGACGAGGAAGAGGAGCGAGGATGCATTTGGGTAGGGTGAGTGTGTTTCAGGCGCTGATTTCTCCTTCCTGCTGAACGGTGGCGGGATAGGTATTTATAGCCGCCGGGCTGCAGAACTCCGTATGCATCGTACGATACAGAACCCTGGATACTTAGGCTTGTGGCTTTTGATCCACATGCGTTTGTCTATTGGGAGAACGATCTCCTTCCTGGGCCTAGTCTTCTCATTTGTATGCGATCCCCGCGGTATACCGGGTCTTACTAGATACGTTTGGACAGAAGACCGGTGCTCGGTCCGAAGACGCGCCTCGGCCATTTTTTTTCTACCGCCAGAGAACTGTGTGAGGTGCGCGTTCAGTCGGATTCTTTGACACGAAAGCGTACAAAATCCTGACCTGTGTACGTGCACACTTGAACATGAAACTGAAACGTTTGGTTACGTGGCCTTCCTAGTGTTCCTGATCATCCTCCCGCCCAGGCGTCTAAGGTGGGGATCCGATACATTCAAAGTTCATTCCGTTCCTTACTGGACCAGCTCGTGTACATGCCGGTGACCTACGCTAAGGGCAGGCACTCGTGTGATCGACGCGCAGATGCCTATAAGAAGCCGCTTGTCCTCGTCCCCCACATCCTCTCCGACCCCCTCGGATTCTCTCTGCAGCGCATTTTCGGTGCAATGCTGATAGATGATCTGCCGGTGGAGCTCATCCTGATCCTTCTCCGTGGCTTATCCTTGGCAGATATCTTGAACTTCACCAGGGTCAGGTCGGAATTGGGCGCTTCTCCGTAAACTCACACCTTTTGCAGACCGTGAACTACTTCCGCTGTATTTCCTTGACAAACCGGCGACTCTGGATAGATGCATTCGACTCTTATAGAATCCGTCTCCCCGTAGGCGAGACGCTCAAGACCACCAATTTGGCTCTCCTTCCTCGCAACGTCGCGCGCAGCGTTTCAATCGCAAATAGATGGCGACATCGAGGACCTATCCATCCCATCCGCACATACGAAGCAACCCCTCTCTACGATCTTCCATCCTGGGCATTCTGGGCGCCGCTGAAGCACTCGCAGCGCACTTTGCAGGGCCACGCCCCGCCGACGTTTGTAAACGTTCTTCCCGGCGGGCGCGCGTTTCTCTTTGGGTCCATGGGCCGTCTCGGGGTATTCGATCTCCGCGGGCAGTACGGATATGAGCTGGACGTTCCGTTTTGCGCGCAGTTTGATCCTCATCCCGGAGATAGCGCTACGTCTGTGGACTGGGACAGCGCCGATAACGGCGTCAACACTACCATTGCCGTGCTTTCCAAGGCGTTGAACGAGCACCACGACGTAGAGAGGTATTATTTTATCTGTTGATAACTGTGACCGGAGAGTTTAACGAAAATCAACGCAGTAAATTGACCGTGTTCGCTCTTCATTACGCGCGTTCCGGGGAAGCGCCGTTTATCCTTCGCACACACATCTTCACCCTACCCATCAACGCAACAGTGGTCTCCGTCAAGGGGCATCTTATCCTCGCGCACAGCCGCCATACATTCCTCCTCGTCAATCTCCAAACCAAAGAACGCGGCTGCTGGCTTCTCTACGACACAGTTCGTACCACTCCTTCCAATATGGTCTCGCAATCACTCATAGTAAACCGCAGGACGAGTGCGAAATCACATCTGCCAACATTGACCCCGCTGAAAACACCATCCTCCTCATAATCGATTCGCGCAGGAAGAGCAAACGCAGTGTGCAGATTTTCGACATCCCCTGCGCCATGGAGTCCTTTGAGCGGACGCCGTTTTGGACGTGCTACCCGTTTGCGCCCCGCACCGTCGTCGTGCTCCCTTATCCAGCATTCGACGCCGACCACGCGCGGGCCCTCTTGCTATCCACCACCCCTGCACGCGCATCTACAGCCGCTGCGAATATGACACCGGCCGATATCACGGTGTTGCGGCCCGCCTACGGCCACCAGATGCTCGCCGCGGTCGGGATGGGCGAGCTCCAGGTCCTGCGCTCTATTTACGCGTCGGAGCACTCTATTCACGCGTCGAATGAGCTGTACTCTGTCCACACATCGTCGACCGACATCCCCGAGCGCCCGGACGTGCTGGAGCTCTCCTTCCCCGCGCATAAGATGCCTGGCGTGGGGCGTGCGCTCGCGTTCGACGACGTTTACGGGATCATGGTTCTTTTCGCGCGAGGACGGCTGTTTGTCGTGCAGTATTAAGATCGTGCTTGTGTTCGTTCGTGCAGCATTAAGATGGGCGGCATTGTTCGTTGGCGTAGATGACTCGCGAATTTAAATGAGACTTTTTCTATTTTCGCTTCTTTGCATTCAAGTACGACTAGGATAACGTCAAGCTCGAGCGGACACGTATCTGGTTGTCACCGTAATACACGTCGGAAATCCAGAGCTGGTAAGCAGAAGAAATCACTAATTTTGTTCTGTACCCCCGTTATCTTTATTTCTGCAACGTTGAAGCAAGGGCCGGTTAATCGTAGTTGTTTGATTGTAGTCAACGGAGGTGACCTCGAGCGGCAGATTGACCAAGGTGAACAGTTAGAGGCAACCCACGCTCAACATGAACACTAGGCTGTTTAGTGTTTTGACAATATTTGCCAGTACACAACGAGACCCATAGTTGGGATGTCAAGTCACTGCTCTAATATGATTTATCGCACAGCAGCCTGTGACAAAAATCAAAGCACGACCATACAATAAGGGAAGAGAGAAAATATAAGGGACGGTAGCAAGGACGAAAAAGGAACTACGTCAGGCCGCGCCCGGAATCGAACCGGGGTCGCCAGAATGCTGAGATGATAACATCAGAATCTGAAGTGATAACCGCTACACTACGCAGCCGAGGATGACTCATCTGAATATAGGGATATTAAGGATATGGGTGTTTATAATCTTCAATACTGTACAACACAAACCACATCTACACAATCCATTACTGTAGTGGTGTTTTGGCAAGTGAACTTTTTGATGGGTTTGGGTGCAAATGGGTTCACCGAGCAAGTTGAGTATTGCAGGCTTTCAAAGCTATTGCATCATGTGATAACCAACTACACCATCAGACTGAGGATCTTGATTTGTCGACACTCAGGATGAGGGACTACCAGGTATTGTCAAAAAATTCATCCTCTGGCATTCTGTGGTGGTTTCTGGGCAAGGATCCTAATGGAGTTTGTTATGCTAATGGGTTCTGTCATCCAGTCCACAAACCCCTGATTCCAAGTCCATTGCAGTTGTGAACACATATCAAACCAATATTACATGATTGAGCAGTTCCATGATTCAGTTTCTGCCTGTGAGTAGTGGTGTATACAGATATCACATCTTCTCCATATCATGAGCATGTAAGTACAGTACTATGATTGTGGCTGTATCAAATTGAAGTGATGTGATGAAGATTTACCCCACTATGCAGTGCAAAGTGTGAGAAGAGCAGCTATACTTGTGAGATTATTTTTGACTTACCTATCAGAGAACCTGATGAAAATGAGATGCATCATGCATGTTGGGCAGTAATAGACTGTATTGAATTGAAGAAGCGACATAACAAAGATTTGTCCCACTATACAGTGCAAAGTGTGGGAGGAGTAGGAAAATATGCCTGTACTCGTGAGAATATTTTTTCCTGAACTCTTAGGGAACCTGATGAAATGAGGTGCATCATGATTATGGAAGACGCTGGGAAGGTATATAAGTATAAGATGCTTCATCTTGAGTTCTCCCCCCCTTCCACAAGATGCCTTCCAAAACCATGGTTACCGAAACACGCTTGGACAACATTGTTGCTTGCTTGGCTCCGATCTTATCACTCTTAGACGAGTTCAGTGATATATTTGGCACCCCCTTTATTCCTGCAATTTCAAACATGACTGTGTCTCTGATCACTCTGGTGCAGGTATGTGGTGATTGTAAATCATAGTGCCAGGCTTACCTGTTATTGCAGAATGTGAAGAAGAATAAAGAAGAATGTATCAAGCTCATGGAAAATGTGCATGAATTGCTCTACGCTATCATCAATCTCCATGTGAAAGCTGGGACTCCATCAAGTCTTCCTCCTGCAACTTTGTCTGCTTTTGGAGAGCTCACAGAGTTGGTTTCTCTAGCTCCTTGGTTAAAACAACAGCTGACAATTTATTTAGAACACTTCACAAGGTCTATGCATTCATGGAGGTGCAACAAGAGGGGAACAAAATCAAGCAGTTTTTTCGGCAGAGTGAGATGAAGACATTGCTCAGTGACTGCCATACAGGATTACAGAAGGTTTTTGACATGTTCAAGGTATGGGTTTTAGACTTACTCTTAATCTGAGTATTTAATGATTGCCTCAGATGGAGGATGCCATCAACCTTCATGGAAACATTGTTGAGATGCAGAAGGAAACAGAAAGGATCCACAAGGAATTGCTTGAAGCAATTTCATCCTCCTCTGATGCAACAATTTCGGACAGGTCATCCTCAGTACATGAATTCTCAGCTGATGTTGGAGCAACAACTGATTTTGTAATCAGATTCATCACTGGGCCAGCTGCTTGCATAATAGGTAACATACAATCTGTGCTTACTCAACTCAACAGCACTTATGTTTTATTTTCTGTCAAGTTCAAATTCAATTTCCATGTTGCCTGCACAGCCCAAGATATTGCATGGCCGGGAATCAGAGCTTAAACACATTGTGGAAATTCTCTATGAGGAATCTGCAAGGATAGCAATTCTAGATGCTGGTGGAATGGGGAAAACAAGTCTTGCAAAAGCTGTTCTACACCACCCTGACATTGTTTCCAGATACTAGAATCGGTTCTTTGTTGCTTCTGATTCTGCCACCACTAGTGTTGAGCTTGCAGCTTTGATTGGATTACACATAGGATTAAAGCCTGGGAAGGATCTTACAAAGCTAGTTGTGCACTATTTCTCCAACAAGGGTCCTTCTCTGTTGGTTCTTGATAATCTGGAAACTCTTTGGGAGCCAATGCTGTCTCGTAGTGGTGTTGAAGAGTTTTATCGAGTCTTACAGATGTTTCACATCTAGCACTTATGGCAAGTGCATATCAATTTCCTAATGATACTGCCACTCATATCTTGCTAGATAACTATGCGAAGTGCAGAAAGGCCAGGAAAAGTCTGCTGGACTCGCCCTTTTCTGAAGCCTTTGGATCCCCTATCAGATGAGGCAGCTCGTCAAACATTTGTAGCCATTGCTGAGGATTTTCATGATAACGAGGACATCACCAAACTGCTTTCTTTGACAGATAACATGCCCTTAGCTGTGGATCTCATAGCCCATCTTGTGGACCAGGAAGGGTGTGGGGAGGTGTTGACTCGTTGGGAGACAGAAAAAACATCTCTGCTTTCGGGTGGTCATGATAAGAGGTCAAACTTGGATATATCAATAACAATCTCGCTATTGAGTCCTCGGCTCAGTTCTGGTGCCAAGGATTTGTTGAGCCTGCTTTCAATTCTCCCAGATGGCCTCTCAGAAGCTGAGCTCATCCAAAGCAAGCTTTCTATAAAAAATGTCTTGGAATGCAGATCTATACTACTCAGGACATCTCTAGCATACGAGAATAACAGAAAAAGGCTAAAGCCACTGGCACCTATCTGCAAGCATATGCAGCAGTTCCACCCTGCTCCACCACCTTTAATTCACCAACTTGAAAAGCACTTCCATCTTCTTCTGGATGTGTATGAAACTCATCATGGATCACAGCAGATGGCAGGACATCTCAATCAGATAATTTCAAATCTGGGAAACCTACACCAAGTACTACTTCAAGGATTACAACAAGACAAGAGGACCCTTTCAGATACAATAAATTGTGCCATTTCTCTGAATGGTTTCAGCCGAAGATCTGGGTATGGCTATCAGGAATTGATGAATCATATCCCTGCTGTCATTGATCCAACTTGTGATGACAGACTCAAAACATCTTTTATCATAGAGGTGTTTAGATGTCGGGTCCTTCATCCCATTGTCAATCCTGAACAACAGATTGCTCAAGCCATATGTCACTTTGGCAAGTTTAATGATCTACTCCTTGAGTGTGAGTTTTTCTGTGCTTTCAATATATCTTTTTTCTAATGAAAAATGAGAATAGCAGAGTTCTATCAGATAATTGGAGTGTACTCATTTTTCAATCAAAAGAACATATCTAGATCCAACCAATTCCTTGACAAGGCACTTGTACTAGGAAAATCCTGTGGAAATAAGAAGCAACAGGCCTCAGTATTTTGCAGTCTTGCATCCATGTTATGGAATATTGGGAACTATCCTGCAGCCCAAACACATGCTTGTGAGGCACAAAGACTTGCCCGTTTATCTGCAAGTGTATACAATGAATCACAGGCACTGCAGATTGAAGCCAGGTGTGCCCAGGACCTTGGTAACTACAAGAACAGCATGTTCTTGTGTCACAGAGGAAGAAAGCTCCTGGAGCTTTGTGGGATGTCTCAAGGCGGTTTAAATCACAGCATCATCACTGATCAAGCAGATCTACATATTCTGAAATCAGAATATGCTGAGGCTCGCAAAATCCATGCTGAAATTCTTCAGAACATTCAAAATACATATGACTATGCTTTTGGCCTCATCAATTTAGCAAATATTGATATTATTATTGTTGCAAGTGCTCAGGATGTGCACCAGAACCTGGACAAAGCAAGAGAATTATTTGCTGCTGCAGGAGATCCAAGTGGACTGACTTACTGTGACATCTCTTTAGGACAGCTTCATCTCAGAGAAGGAGAGACTCATGCTGCAAATTTAATATTCCAGCAGTGTTTTCATTCAGCCAAGCGAAATAACAGTCAGGCTGCATTCTTGTGCCTGGAGAGCCTTGCAGATACTAGCCAGTGACCTGCATGCAATTTTGAATGGGCATCACAATGGACAGTGGTATATTTGGTGTATGCACAAGGAAAAAAGAACAAGCAGGCACTCCACAAGGCACTTCAATTCCTGGGAGATGTGTTTCTCAAACGAGGAGATCTCAATACAGCAGGCAGTCTTTTTACTGTAGCATTGGATACATTTACTTATAAGGACATCCACCATAGTCGAGGTGAGTGCATACTTCGCCTTGGGGATATCTCAGAGCAAAGAGGACATCTGGTGGAGGCAGTCAAATTTTGGAATGAGGCTCAGCTGCTCTTTGAGCGTTCATTGCAAACAAAGGAAATCACTGGAATTGACACCCGACTTGCTGCTGTTGAGCAGAAGATACTTGACAGAAATAGTAAAACACTAGCTCCACCTATTCCATCTTGACTCTTTTGAGTTGCTGTTGGAGTTGGACAAGATAGACATGGTGGAAATGAGTGATGATTCTTATTAGCCTTCAATTTTTTTTCTGTACCAATATTTAGGTAGTAGGGACTCTTTCCAATATTTTAAGTTCATGTGATTGATACCAGACTTGCACCCTAAGTCAACACCAACTTTGTCCAATGTCACAGTGATCCAGAATCTGTTCCTGCCCCAACTGCATGTCAACTATTACTGAGTCCAACTGGCTGCACTTTCTGTGATCATCTGGGAAATTCATCTTACAGTGAGTACCAAGGTCACACATGATATCATCATGATAATATATGCAAGTGTAAATACAATTACATGTTACACAAGTATGCACAGGAAGGATGAGGTTCAGACTCATGGTTAGCAAGCAAATGCCATTATAATAATGGTGCACAGACTGCTTCCATTAATTGGAAAATACCTCAGACCTGAGACCCCTCCTTTCACTGGCACTCTCTTTTCTATTAGCACACTTTTTGTTAGTGCTGAATCTTTAATTGTGGGCTGTCAATTTTCTTTTTCCTTTTTTGGTTCAAGTCTTTCAAGGGGGACCCCTTACATGCTGGCTGAATCAAGATTGGGTGGGATGAATCAAACTCTTGCAGGTTACAGAACTGGATTAGTCAGAAACTCACTTAGAAAGAAACCACAAGTATATAGCTGGTGTGCTACACCAGATGTGTAAGCCTGAGGTTATGCCAAGTACGCTGTTTTATTTTCCTGTTTGCTCCTATTTTGGTGGGGATCTTAAGCTCTGTAACTTTGGTATTGCTATGCCTGCCTGCATATCTTCCATCCCAAACCTACAAGTGATTGGCATTGAAGAAGAAGAAACTTCTTCCAATGAACCTAAGTCTGAGATGAGGTTCACAAAATCCAAAATGCCATGTTGGGACACCAATGCCCTTCAGCCAGATCACATTCAGTCATTGATTCTGTTTTTGGACTCTGACTCTCATCCAGTCTTGACAATAACTCAACCCAGATGTAGGAAGTGGTAAAGCGACTCTCATCATTATGAGGTGCTTTTTGCTGAGCTTATTATGCAGTCCTATTTTATTTTGGGAATTTCTCTCCTTGGCTAAGAACAACTTTCTGGCCTGGTTGTTCTCCAATGCATGTTTTTTGTTGGTCTTTGCCTTTGCCTTTGCCAAAATGGTCATTAGGCTGACACTCAGACTGTCTGCCACAGTGCCAGTTGTGGAGATGGGAGTTGCTAAACTACACATCAAGAACAAACATGTTGGGGGAATATTGGGAGTAATTGAATGTAAGATGAGTGGTACCATGACCAGACCTAGATACCATTGAGCCACAAACAAAGTCTGTATTCAGTCTGTTTTGATTGACATACTGAATAATTGCTAGTCAGACTCACATCCAATCCACCTATAAATAGCAAGAACATGTACTAAGCACTTAATCTAGGCAGACTGATACTACAAGTCAGGCAGCTGAGATCTCAGATTCATAACACATTGATTCACTCAACTGGACCACCATTCTACCTATATCAAGCTGCTCACTCCAGTTCTGTCATTTCTGGGGATTCTACACAAAAAAAAAAAAAGATCTTGCATGTATGTGTCCTTTTAAAAAAATGATTTGATGCCAACATCATAATTTACTTTAAATGATCGCCCTCATGGATCAGTGGTAGATCATCCTTGCCATCTTATATGCATAATCTTGTAGAATGGTTTCATGGAGGACGTGGGTTCGACTCCCGCTGAAGGCATCATCATATGTGTATACATTTCTTTTTGCATTCAGTTGGTCATGACAAACCTGGGAGTAATCAAAATTAGCCGCACCAAGGCAAGAACCAGAGGTCCTGCAGCTGTTGGAAATCAGTTACTGTATAGGGAATGATATAGATATAACTGCACATACTGTCAGTTAGAGTTCTCACTTGGAACTGAAAAATCCATTTGAGGTCAGTTATATTATTTGCCTTGTCATGTGAGTGTGAGTGTTAGTGATCTGAGTGTCACCTTTGTCGTAAAACATGCCATAAGTGTGGGTAACCCATGGAAAACCTGTGGGTAGGCAAACTCACAGATCCAGGTACCTGTTCCCATGAGTTTCCTATGGATCCAAGCACAGAAAAACTCACACATCTATGAGTACACATCTATATTTCAGCAGCTTACAGAGTTTAATATGTGGTTTCAACCATTATAAAAGGGTTGTAACATGATTCTGTAGCAAGAATGGGTTCTCCTACCATTCATAAAGACACAAAACCTGTAGGTTTATCCAACTCCTGAATACTTATATGACCTGCAACTGAGTTCAGCTTTTTTATCATAGATATTTTCAGCAATGGATCCAGCTCACCTGTGGGTGTAATCATGGCAAGCCTTATATGACTGGGGCTCATATCTATACTATTATGTGGATATACAGAGCATGTTTGGGTCACAAGCTCAATTGATGACAGACGAAGATCAGGTTAGCCCAGGAAACTCGACTGCCTTGGGCACAGTCATGCCTTATATTGAAAAATCATCTACCCAATTAAAATATTGCATAGTGTTCAGGTACTGCATAGCAATAATATATGCAACTGGGAATGGGACACCAGAAAATTTGCAAAGCTGAACTTTGAAGCCATATTCCTCATGAACTCTAACACTAACTTTCTCTGTTGTGCCACAGACACAGTCATACATACTATCATCTGCCTACATTGTGTAGCTGAATGAAGTAAGAATGAAGTAAGAATGTTTAAGAAAGCTTGAAGTTAGGTAGAAGATGCCAGGGAAATTTAGAATATGGGGAGAGGATCCTAGGTCAAACAGGTGGTAAAAAGAATTGCGGGTGAATGTAGGACTTTATTCATTGGGATTACCAACCAGTATCTCTCTCTTTATAAAATTATCCATCTCTGTCTGAAGCCTTTTATGCTCTGCTTTTGGTTCATCACTTGGGTTAATCAGTCCCGACACTTTGGAATATCAGCCTTAAGCTCAGGAAGTTTGGGAACTGGCAACACTGGCATATTGGTGGCGCCATTGTCACAAGTCACTTTATTTCACCATGCTGTATTTTGCTAAAAACTCAATATGAGTCTAGTCTCTCCTAGACAGACACTTCAACTCAAAGCTTGTACCTCACTTGTTGAAGTCTGTTGCTTACTGCAGGGTCTGATTGTGATAGAATCTTATTATATAATTGTTGATCTCGATGCAAAAATGCTAGCCAACATTCTATATCTCTTTTTTCATTAAATAACCCTTCTATCACAGATGCCTGGTGTAGAAACAGCATGTCACACTCCAGATTTTTTTCAAGGCTCATTTGATGCTGTTTTCAATATTTTAGTTACATCGGCTGATGTGTCACATCAATGTCACACGACTTTGCTTGCTGTGTTGCGAGTGCAATTCCCAGTATTTTTTCAACATTGTGAAGAGGCAAAAAGTTGAGGCACACCCATTGGACCTCTTTTGAATTTGAACTTTGTATGAAAGCACTTTTTCTGTAATCCAGATTGCGCAGCTAGATTCAAACTCTGACAGTTATATAATAAGATTCTAACATGGTCCGACCCCCACAGCAACAACAGGACTAATATGAGTCTCACTGTCCACTGAAGAAAAATGCTCTGAGTTTATCATTAGGGTCGTTCACAGTTGCCATTTTTCTACCATTTTTCCTACCATTTTTCTGCCCTTTTTTGTATTCCCATCATTTTTGACTGGGTTTTTTCCCCTTTTTAATTTATACATGTAAAAAGGGTTGAAAAGGGGGAAAAACCGTATCCCAAGTGCAAAACCTGGTAAAACGGGAGAGGAACAAGTTCAAAAAAGGGTGCAAAAAATGGCGACTGTGAAACCCCCCTCTCGGTACTCCATTTTTCTGCCCTTTTTCACCATTCATTTTTTCATTCCCTCTTCAACCAAACCTTCATGTTCCTCAGGTCAACTAACACTGACGGCCAGTGCCCTGTGGCACCAACATTTTCAATGTCTGATGGCTTACACAATGCACAGCCTCCCCTTCTCACTCGCTCCATCTCATCCATGCCACTGATGGACCTGCTACAAGGGCTTGAAAACTATTGACATGCCAGAAAAATGGGAACAAAAGGAAACAAAAAATGGTAGAAAAATGGCCAGAAAAATGGCAACTGTGAATGACCCTACTGACTGTCTATGAGTCCACACTTCACAAGTTGAGATGCCATCCCTCAGCTGTCATGCCTGGCTCTGCAGAACTCACTCTGCTGTCAGTGTCACCGGTATCTCCCATGCCCCACTGTTGCCAATCCATAGTGGAATCTGAAAAGAGGAAGACAGACTATGGAGCAGTCTGTTAGCTGCATGTCCTTATACATATCACATGTTCAACATAGCCCTTTGGGCACCCCTGGTACCTTGACACTCATCCAAGTACATGGGGCCAGTAGGAGTAATAAAAGGCAGAGGCTTACAAAATTGAAAAAGGTGATAAAAATAACAAAATTAATGGCATCACCGTGGCTTGAACACGGGACCTTCAGATCACATGACATACTTCAGTCTGCTGCTCTCCCAACTGAGCTATGACGCCAACACAAACAGTTCTTCTGATTTGACAGTCCCTCTGATTTCATTGTTCACTATGCTTTTCCAGGAGTTGCCATCTTTGTTTAGTCTCAGGTCCCGGCTTCTGAACCAGCGGCTATTTGGATTATACAAAATGCTATCCCCAAAATGGTAGATTGGATCTGACGGATTGCTGATAGATCTGATGATAAATTACATTGTGGACATCTGAACTAAAAATGATTGGAAGGATATAAGTAGTGGCTCTGTCTTCCCATATCAAGTCAAGGTGGTGCTGAGCAATCACGGCCAATCTCGGGGGCCCTAAAATTGTCACATCACCACCACAGAATTTCGGAGTTTCACCGAGTCGGCGGATGCTATATGATGTTAAATTCAGTCTTGTATAAATAATCCTCATGGATGTCTCTAAACACATCACCAAAATGCCCCCCCAGACCAGTATCACTCAAATCCACTTGAACAACCTCATTTCATATCTGAGTCTTGCCATCTCTACTCTTGCCAACCTTGAACATGCAGTGGGGACCCCTTTCTTGACAGCCATCTCAAACACCACTTTATCACTTCTGTCTGGAGTACAGGTCTGCAATCTACCTAAGAGATGTTAAACCCAGCTAATTATATTATCAGAATGTTAAGACGAAAAGAGCTGAATGTGCACAGCTCCTGGAGCATCTTCACAAAATCCTATATGCTATTATAAGCCTCCACATAAATTCTGATACAGGTGGTGAACTACCACCTGCCACATTGGATCATATTGGGAAATTTACAGAGTACTTATTTTTATCCTGGAGTTGTTATAATCTATTGATCATTGCTTGGCTTCATTCATGACAGGACTCTTCAAAAAATACATGTTTTTGTTGAATCTCAGCAAGAGGGCAATAAAATCAAGCAGTTCTTCCGTCAGAGTGAAACAAACTCACTGTTGAAAGATTGCAATTTGGGATTGAACCAGGCCATTGATGTGTTCAAGGTTTGTTTACATTCACTGCTAAAACATGTATTCATTGATTGTTATAGATTGAAACTGGTGCCAGTCTCTTGGCTGATATCAGCAACATGCAGAAAAGCTCAGAGGAAACACACAATGCATTACTTGAATTGATTGCAACACTTTCAGATGGAGCAAGTTCTGACAGGCTGTCCAGTGTATGAAGTCTCTGTGTGTAGTATTGTGACTGCAAACTGATCCTTGTTATAAGATCACTGGAAGTCTTTCTGATTCACGAAGCAGGTAAGATTTGATATTACATCCAAGAATGTTTTGTCCTAATTACTTTCCAAGCTTAAACTCACTTACAATGTTGCCTGGAAAGCCCAAGATATTCTATGGACGTGAATCAGAACTGGAACAGATTGTCAAAGCTCTTACTCTGGGTTCTGCTAAGATAGCTATTTTAGGGGCAGGTGGAATGGGCAAAACCAGTCTTGCTAGGGCCACACTGCACCACCCAGAAATTCCAGTAAAATATCAGAACATATTCTTCATTGCAACTGACTCAGTCACCACTGGCACTGATCTTGCCAGTCTTGTTGCAGCCCATTTGGGCCTGCAACCAGGCAAAAGGGCCACCAAAACAATTGCAGAGTATTTTTCCAACAGCCCACCCAGTTTGATTATTTTGGATAATCTGGAGTCAAGTTGGGAGTCTCCAGAGTCTCGAAATGATGTTGAAGAATTTCTGTCATGTCTCACTGATGTTGAACATCTGTCATTGATAGTGGGCACATCTCCCCTTCACAAATTTGCATGCTAACAAATCTATAGGTTACAATGCGAGGAGCAGAGCGACCTGCCAAAGTACAATGGACCCGCCCATTTCTGCCACCTTTAAAGCCCTTGTCACTGAATGCTGCCCAGCAGACTTTTACCGCCATTGCTGATGGCATTGATGATCACAATGATATTGAAAAGTTGCTCCTTTTGACAGACAATGTTCCTCTGGCAGTAGATCTTATTGCTCATCTGGTTGATGATGAAGGCTGTGCCAGAATACTATCCCGTTGGGAGACTGAAAAGACAGCCCTACTCTCTGATGGTTATGACAAGAGATCCAACTTGGACATGTCCATTACAATGTCGTTATCAGGCCCTAGAATGACATCTTCCCCAGGGGCAAAAGATCTATTGAGTCTTCTGTCAATTCTTCCCGATGGCCTTTCAGACAGGGACCTC